TGGGGTTGGGGCTGGCCGGGGCGGCCTGCGCCCTCCTGGGGGTCTGCCTGCTGCTGGTGGGGCCCGTCATCATCAAGGAGCAGGTTGTCAAGGTCAGCGAGGCCGGGGATTTTTGGGGGGGGGTGGATGCGTGAGGAGGCTGGAGCCGGTGCGTGGATGGGGGCTTGGGGTGGAACCCGGTGCTGGGTGAGGGGTGCTGGGGCCGGTGCGTGGCTGGGATGCGGCTGGGATGCGGTGCTGGGGGTGGTGGGTCGCAGGTCTGGTGCGTGGTGGTGTCTTCTCTGTCTGGTGGGATCTCCGGGGGGGTGTGCGAGAGAGCTTGGCACCCAAGGGTCTCTGCTTCGGCATCGCTCTGAGCCGCCTCATGGTCTTACTGCAGGGCAAATCCCAGCTTGGGCTCTTCCACCCTAGGCTGAAAAGGCTCTCGTCCCTGGCTAGGAGGGCTTTCTGCATGGCTGGAGTTGGCTTTGGGGCTGGTGGTGGGCTGAGCATGGTCCCCAGCGCCAGCCCGCCCTTCTCTGTTTACCTGCAGCACTCACTGTACCCTGGTGAGATGCTACCCAAACTGGAAATGGGACGGGCAACATGCAGGAGTGCTCTGAAGGAGCCTCCTGCATGGAGCAGCCTCCAAGGCATCGTCTCCTGCTCAACTGGAAAACCTAAAGGGCTGCCTCTCTGGAGACCTCTCCTATCCACAAAAGAGGTCCTGAGGCTGAAGAGGCGTTTGTTCTCTACAGTCAAGCCCCACAGGGCTGTGGATGGGGTTCAGTAACTGCTCCACAGAGACTTGGGAACCAGTGTTCCTGTCCTTGCTGTTGGGACAGCGGTTATCCTGCTGTAACGAACCAATTGGCTCATTCCATATTTAGCCAAACCTTTTTCTCCCTGGCCACAGAAGACGTGCCCCTGCTGGGGCATTTCTCCAAGCTTGCACCTGCCCAGGTCAGCACCTGGAAATGTGCTTCTGATGAAAGGTTGGATAACCACCCCATAGTCAATGGCAGTGATTGCATGTGCTGCAATGGCTCTGCCAGAAACAAGTTTCTACTTAAACGTACCCTCTGGAAATGCTGCTGGCTGGGCAAAGCCACACACAAGCAGTAAAAGTCAATCTTTGTCCAGTTCCATAGACACCTACAAAGAAAAGACTGAATGGCCCCTGCGGAACAGGAGTGACATTTTTGGTGCAAAAACCTTTCTGCCCTCTTTTTAGCTTGTCCTGATTCTGCCTGATGAGCTAAATCCTAGTAACTTGCAATGAGAACAGAAGATGAGGAAAAGATCAACCCTTGTTTCTCCTCAGGTTTCCCTTCATCTTAAGCCCTTCAGTGTAACCCAAAATGGTCCTGAGCTCTTATGAGGCTTAATGTGAAATGGAAAAAATAACTGAGTGATGATGTCTAGCATGGTGAGAAATACCCAAGGCTCTACTGAAACTCCTGGGTTGGTCTTCAGTGTGGTGTTGGTAAGAGCAGCTGAGCCATGAAGGGCTGGGGTTGAGCAGGTCAAGGCTGGTTTGCCCATCCTGGCTTCCTGAGCTCTGTCAAGATGGTGTATCCCAATGGAAGAGCACGTAGTTGCAAAGAGGTGGTAGTTTGGGGGGATATCTGTGAGTAAAGTCTGTAGGGGAACACACAGTAGAAACAGGGAACTTGGAGCCGATCTCCTGCCTCGTGCGGAAACTGAATCTGCATTGGCAGCCGTCCTGGCAGCTGTCCTGCCTGTGGCATTGGCACTGTGAAAACCTGGGGACCCTGCTTTTCTGGAAACACCTGGAGTTCCACAGGTCTGCCTAAGGTATGAGCTTTAACACCCTGAGACCACACCAACTGCTTCTTAACATTTCTGCTCCACCTGGGAATGCTCGTGCCGTCCTGCCTGAAAGCTGGGAGAAGACTGATGGCACTGTCCTTGCTGTTCTAGCAGGGTGACGAGGGTGGTGGTGAGAGGATGTGGAGGGTGAGGTCTGATGCTGAGGTTGCTCCTCTCAATCTGAAGAGGAAACCTCAACTCTGGGTTTTACTGAGCAGAGTGGCTGAAGCCCCTCTCCTGGAGTAGCAGGATTTGGGCACTGTTGATGGAGCTGTGTCTCCTCTGGTTCTCTCTGGAGGAGAGGAACCATAGCCGGTTCCTTTCAGTTCCTCAGGAACAGAGATGAGTGTGGTCAGGAGTGGTCAAACATCTCAGTGACACTTTACAACCCATCTAGGTGAAAAATACTCTATTTTTATTTCAGACATATGACTGTGTTTGTTTTGACCTACAAGTAGCTTAGCTCTAAGGCTGCCCAGTTGAGTAGACCTTGCTTAGGAGCATCGGTGGGGTCCCGAGAGCTGCTGTGCCCAGGTGGGAGAGGGCTGAGAAAGCAGGGAGCCGGGCTGCAGCTCCATCAGGCTGGGTACATGTTGTACAAATAAATGCATATGCAATGAGGGATCCAGGGAGTGCCAGACAGGATGGTCGAGGAAAGCAGGTGCAGACTGGTGGGTACCCAGGAGCAAGAATTATAAACCAAGTAAAATCCGAGTTGCTCTTGTCCTCTGCTGCTTTGCCGTGAAATCCTTGAGGCCAGCAGGATGGAGACTGTTGGCCAGCAGCACGTGGGCGTTGATGTGGAGGTGGGAAGGGTTTGATAGGTGGGTTACACCGCACCGTGGAGATGTCCCCACAGGGGTAGGGTTTGAGGACCTGGGCTCGAGCGAGGGGCTTGCAAAGCCCCATTGCTGAGGGGTGGCACAGCCTGGCCAGGAAATGGCTGAAGAACATGGGACACTGCAGGGAAGTCACTGGCAGCTTTCTTTTCCACCCCGCTGTGTCAGCAAATTCGAGCACAGCCAGATGAGGCTGCTCCAGGGCAGGAGAGCTGTTGTGGGGCTGCCAAGCTGGTGCCAGATATAATACTCACATGCCTTCAGGAATGGGTGGATCAAACCCACTTCCATAAACTGCCTGGGTTACTTAACCATGGCAAGGGCTTGTGCTCGCAGAAGAAGCAAGATTTATGGCGGAACACGCCCCTCGTAAATGGGGAAACAAGAAGGAGCAGGCTCTTGTCCATAAGGAAGCCCCCGGGAGTATGACTGTGTTTGTTTTGACCTACAAGTAGGGGAAGCAGGGAGGGAGTGGAAACTGATGTGCCCAAGCACCAGCTCCTGGGCTGGGAATCTGGTGAGAACTGAAGCTGTGTTTGGGCTCCTGCGGGCATTTCCCAGCAAACGGGACAGCGATAGGGAATCCACGGCTGTGCATTGCCTTTGATCTGCCTTATGACCAACGGAGTCACTGCGGGATGGCAGCTGAGAGGAGGCAAAGGTGTTGGGACACGCCTGGGTCGCCATCCCGGTTTCCCTAACTGCTTTTTGGGGAATCTGGTCGGCCCTCCCTGCCGGTACCCAAACATTTGTGTGGATGCTTGTGTCACCTCTCCCAGCCCGTGCCCGTTCCTGGCTGCGTGGAGCTGCCAAACCTGGCAGACGGGTGGAGGCCATCGGGACGGGGCTGCATGTGCCAAACGAGCCAAACATGCAGAGCTGGGAAGAATTCAGCGCTGGCTTGTCTAGCATGGAGCAAGCCTCCAGCACATCAAACCAGCTCTGAAATCCTGTGGGTAGGAACTGGAAAGTTGAGCCTGAATAAATAAGCCTACAGACATCCTGTGGCATGAACTTTATGCTTCTGCATACATAAGAGTTCCCAGTTTAGATCTGGCTCATTCTCAGTCTGCATAACACGCCTGGATCATCTGGAGAGCCCCTGCTGGAACTGCCGCCTTCGGCTGGGCCTGTCGTGGAGCCAAGGATGGATGTGCTCAGCTGTAGCCACCAAGCCCAAGAGTTGTCTCCTTACGTTGGTTTTTTTTTTGGTTTTGTTTTTTTCCTCTCCCTTGCAGAATGTCAGGATTGACCCCACCAGCATCTCCTTCAGCATGTGGAAAGACATTCCTGTTCCTTTCTACATGTCGGTGTACCTCTTTGAAGTGCTGAACCCCAAGGAGGCCCTCCAGGGAGCAAAGCCAGTGCTGAACCAGCGTGGACCCTACGTTTACAGGTCAGGTACCACTTATGGTCCAGCTAGGCTTTTGGCTGACTCCTCTGGCAGGAGAGCATGGCATTAGCATACTTGGCATGAGTCCAGTGGCACAGGATTTTAAAGTGACCCAAATGTGCTCTAATCGCTCTGATCTTGCTAAAGCCACAAGTAGGACCTCTGGCTGTCAGGGTGGTAAGGCTGGTCTGTGCTTCACTGAGTTATGGAGCTCAGTCCTTAGCTGGCATCTGCTGGGCAGCCAGACCTGGGCTCATATGGGCCAATCATAGGCATGAGGGGTGTTGGTGGGGTGGTGAGAAACATTCAGCTTCAGAGTGGACTTGTTTCATCTTCATTGTGCATTGAAGAGTCCAGCTTCAGAGCTGGAGTCACCTCAATGTCAAACTTCATGGAATGGCCTAAGACCTCTTATCTAACATGAGACCCAGAATCTGCTTAACATGAATGCTCTGGCCATGAGAACCAGTATGGAGCACTAAAACTTGCTCAGACCCACCTATAGCAAGTCTGGGTCTATTTGCCATGGCTGAGGGTGGTGATTGAAGTCCCAGATGCTTCTCTGGACCTGAAACGTGAAGTGATGGTTGATACTGAGTTGAGCATGTGAACTTACCCATAAATAGCAATATTCAGCACGTTGGTGCCTACACATATAGGCAAAGTTAGGTCAGTAGCCTAAGCAAGCTCATGTGGGGAGATTACTGGTTTAATCCAAAGCTGTTTGAGAAGCACTGGAGGAGAAACCTGGCAGTATGTATATGTCCTTGTTTCCCCTGGGCTTGCCAGGTCACACCATAAGACCATGTGGGTTCTGTATGTTGTGATCGTGTCAGCCCCTTGGCTTGGGGGGAAAAAGCTTCACTTACCATAAGAATAAACAAAGGGGCAAAGCTTATTAGTGTCCTTGTGTTCCTGCTGAGCAAGATTAGTGCCCTTCCCTAATATGGGCCATAAAACAGAGGCTCCACAATAAAGGACTTTGTTTTTGCTGGTGGGTTGAGCTTCAGAGTCCTCAGGAGCTGTAACAGGCTCACGATGTTGGGGACAGCCTCGTGCTCTTGTGGAGCGTTGCAGCCCCCATGAGACTGGGCTGCCCCCATGGCATGGCGTGGAGCGGTGCGGGAGATGACATGGCCTGAAGCCCTGAGGAGCAGGAGACCCATGATGCTGCATGGAGGGTTGAGCTGACCTGAACCCGGGAGCCATCGGGAAGCTGTGGGGCAAATCACTGTGGGCTATTTGGTGGGGCTTGTGCCACCTTGTTTGGTCCTCTCCTGTTTTGCAGGTTGTTTTGGTGTGTGGGTTGGTGTAGGTCTCCTTATCTCTGCATCTAATAGGGCTGGGCTTTACAACAGCTGTAGGTGAAATGAGAGAGGTGACTTATGCTTCTGTCTCGGACTTCTCAGCTGGGAACAAAAGGTTGCTGCAGAATCCCATCTGCCAGGGATGCTTCACTCCCAGGCTGCCATCTCTTCCTGCTAGACCCTAACCCTGGCCAGGGTGTGAGGTTGACACTGCCTGTTCCCCAGCACGCTGCCTCCCCTGCTGTCCCACGGCTTCTTGCTGGAGTTCCATCTCCTTCCTGTGCTCTTCAGAAGTAAACCTAGACCTGTGCAGTCCATCCTTGCTCCACAGGGGCTGCAGGGGCACTTGCATGGGGGAAAGTTCTCATGATCTCTCTGATCTCTTTTGCAGAGAGTACAGGTATAAAACAAATATCACATTCCATGACAACGACACCGTCTCCTTCCTGGAGTATCGGCAACTCTTCTTCCAGCCTGACATGTCCAACGGCAGCGAAGAAGAGTACATTGTTGTGCCAAACATGTTGATGATGGTAAGAACTTGCTGCCTGGATGGCTACCAACTTCTGAGCCTGCAGGGAGGGCACCGAGGCCAAATGCTGACTCAAAGCTTACTTTCTTGTAGGGCTTAAGACTAATCAAAGCCATGAGGTGGTTAAGCTTATAAAATCTGCTTTCTGGGTGTTGGTTGTCATGTTGGGCTGTTACCCTTCCAAAAGCAGAGCGTGCAGAGGGGCTGGCAAAGCAGTCTGCAACCTCGTTTGAGCATCCTCTGCGGAAATGAAGCCTGTGAACCCTCAACTGTTTTCTTCCCAGTCTTGGGGATAAATGCTGAACCTCAGGTTGTCCAAAGGATTTCTCTAGGGCTGTAGAAGGACCTTGCTGAGCACTGAAGATGCATTACTTCCTCTTTGGGGATCTCGTCTTGTTTGTTTTCTTTCCCAGGGAGCTGCTGTAATGATGGAAAACCTGCCAAACTTTGTGAAGCTTTTACTGAGTGGAGCCCTGGCTGGCCTGAAACAGGAGGCCTTCATGAACCGGACCGTGGGGGAGATCCTGTGGGGGTATGATGACCCTCTTATAGACACAATAAATACACTTGTTCCTGGCCTGATGCCTTTCAAGGGAAAATTTGGCTTATTTATGCAGGTAAGCAAACTGTTGGTTGAGAACACTAAAATCACAGCAATATTGGTACTGGGATTGAGTATCTGGGCTATCCCTCTCACAAACTGTTTGGAGCAGCCATGTGTAGCTGGTGGTGGTTGCATGAGGCTGCCTTAATCCTCCCCTCAAGCAGGAAAGCATGTGTTGGAAGCTGTTACTGGCAATTTAAATAAGTGAAAGTGCAGTAGCTTACAGTATGAAGCATCTCTAGAGCTGACAAAGCATGCAAAGTCATTAACACGTTGCAGTCTTGCTGCATGTAATGGATTAAAAGCTAGTTACCTCTCTCTGCAGCTTAACAACACCAATTCGGGACTGTTTACAGTATACACAGGCATGAAGAACATCAGTAGAGTTCACATGGTGGATTCATGGAACGGCCTGAAGAAGGTGAGTGTTGGGGAGTAAACCTCTAGTGTGGGGGCGAGGCCTCATGTAAAGCAAGTTAACATGAGGCATCATGTTATGCTTGAGATCATAGCAAGCATCTCAAGCATCATGATGCTTGAGAGCTTTCAGTGAGAAAGCTCTCAGGGCTTTTGGGCTTGAAGGCAAGTTTCTATGGGACTTTATCTGCTGCAATTTCCGTTCTATCGAATTGCTAGAAGGCAGCCGTATATGACAAGAAGCTTGTCATGAAGCATTAAGTTCAGCCCGTCATTAGTGTCACTTGGACTCCCTTGAAATACTGTTGGAGCATTCTGCTGCTTTCTACATTGAAGTCCTAGGCTCTTGTTGCCTGTGTTCAAGGCATTATTTAAGTATTCTTATTAAAAGGGTGCTTATTCTTCCCTTGTGGAATTCCACTCTGAACAAAAATCAACTGAAACTACAGATCAACCACTGCAGGAGCACCTGGGACAGGGGGATCTTGTCCTGTTTTTCCATTAGTTGGGCAGATGTTTGAATGGGAAAGATCTCAGAAGCTCTTCAGTGTCACTATCTCAAGCTCCTGTTGAAGCAGCACAGAGTGGTGGATGTCCCATACAGGGGTAGAAGCCAACTCTCCAGCAAGCTTGTTGTTCTTCTTTCTACACCTGTCCCACAGGTGAACTACTGGCGGAGTAACGAGTGCAACATGATCAATGGGACTTCGGGGGAGATGTGGCCACCGTTCATGTCCCCAACATCACTGGAGTTCTACAGCCCTGACGCCTGCAGGTGAGGCCAACGTGTCCCTGTGCGGGTGACAGGAGATGCAGTGCTCCTCCTGTGCACACAGAGTTCCTGTGCAGTGACGCAGAGGGCTCGGGTCTAGTTTCTGTAGTTAAAGTTCAGTGTTGCCATATCTGAGCTATGCAAGCAGTGTGGTTGTCTAATTAGCGGTGTCCTGTGGTATTCATAAATACCTTCCACATCACTGGAGAAGCCTAACTTGCTCACGTTGAATCAGTAGAAAATAACCAGCCTAGATAAGAGGTGGGAGGCGAGAGGGAGAAGTAAGTGTTGTCACGAGGAAATGCAGCTAGAACCATTTTGTGGAACTTTCAGCTGGCTAAATGCTTGCACAAGTGATTTTTTGGGGGGAGCTTGTGCCACCGTTTCCAGACTGCTGCTTTTGGGGTTTTTTTGGTTTTTTTTTTTTTTTTTTTTCTGCTGCTCTGCCTGTCTGTCCCGTGTAGGACACCCTGATCTTAGCTGATCACACAGGGGTTAAAGTACCCTGTGGAGCCCTGCCTGTGTGGAAACTCCCGGAGGCTGGAAGGAGGGGAGGCCAGGAGGCTGGCTTTGGCACAAAACCCTATCCCCAGCTTGGGGAAGATAAGGCAGATAGTGTTAATTCAGGCTTTGTAGATAGTGCTGCAAAACAAGGGAGGGCTCATGTTGAGTAGAGAACAATGACCTCTTCAGCGGAACAAGCAAAGTCAGCTGAGCCAGGTATTAGGGCAGAAATTCCTCTACACAAGGGACATCAGCAAATATGAAAATGACCCGGAGCCAAGGTCTTACAGGGAAGTTTACCAGTAATCAAAGTTTAAATACACATACCTTTTTCTGTAAAACTACAGAAATCTAGGGAACAGAGGGTGTTCCCAGTCAAGGCATAAACTGAAGTGGAGGAGACCAAGCTTGGTTTCTGTTGGCGCAGGACGTTCGTGCAGGACAGTGCTGTGGAGGAAGTGGCTCTGCCTCTTCACCAGGCAGTGCTGTCTCTTCTCCCCAGATCTTTGTCTCAGCCTCTCTGCTAGCCTGGATGGCTAGGAAGGGACATGGTTTAGTGGTAATTTGGCAGTGCTAGGTTAGTAGTTGGACTTGATGATCTTAAAGGTCTCTTCCAACCAAAACGTTCTATGAAGGAGTCAGAAACATCAGTTGATAGACTAAGAGCATACCTGCCTTGCTGCAGGGCTCATCTCCTATGCTGTTTGCACATTAAGTGCAACTGATGCCGAGATGCAACTACCTGGATGTCCCTGCCAGGTAGGCAAGGCTTTATCCTGCTGATGAGCTGCAGCAGCCTCTGCCTCCTTGCTGGAAGGTGAGCACAGCCAAGAGGCATGCATTTAACTGCTGAACATGCCCTGAATCCCCCATCCTTGGTCCTGGTGTCAGAAGACTGCTATAGTAATAAACATCCCCTTGGCCTGCCCAGGCTGTCTGCATCCCTGCAAACCTCACTCAAAGGAGCACATGTGAAGGAAAGAAATTTCCCTCTTGGAAATTTGCATCTCTCCTGGCCAGCTGGTGGCAACAACGCAGCATAACATCGCTGGCCTGTTGTATCAAGACAAAAAGTCTTGCTGTGTAATGTAGCTCATAAGGTAAAATTTTCCACTGCCCTGCCAGCCTGTATGCTGGAGTCCTGCTGCGAAAGAGATTTAGCTGGTGTCCATCCCCTGTGACAGAGCACTTCTACCTCGGAGCCAAGGGCTTGCACAAAGAGGGTATTACCTCTTGGAGAGCAGCCCTGGGGATTACTGCATGCCTTCAAACAAATCTCATCTGGATACCACAAACAAGCTTACAGGCCTGTGGTTTCTCTCTATAACTAGTCCTGACCAGCCCTTTATCTGTGCTTAAAACATAGAAAGCAAATGGCTTAAATACTCATTCCCCCTCCAAAGCACTGCTCGGAGTGTTTATCTTGATCTCAAAGTCTAAGTTACATTGCAACTGCATCTTATCCAGCGAAGATAAGAGCCCAGTTCTGGGACGGGAACCTTGTTGGCTAATCTTGGTCCTTCTCCACTGAAACCCTTCCAGATCCTTGACACTGGTGTACGAGCAGTCTGGGAAGTTCGAGGGTGTGCCCACCTATCGCTTCGTGGCACCAAAAACTCTCTTTGCCAACGGCACGGACTATCCACCCAATGAAGGTTTCTGCCCCTGCATGCAGTCCGGCATCCAGAACGTCAGCACCTGTAGGCTAAGTAAGTCCTTTCCTCCCTGGGCTGTCCCAGCCCTACTGATATTTAACTGTAGGGATGTGATATGGGCTTGGCTGGCTGGAAAACTCTGCTGGAGTGCTAAAAGGTGCCACCCGTGGGGTCTGTGTGGATGGCATTCTCCCTTGCACTCCCGCGGGCATCTCAGCAAGGAGGGAAAGGGTGAAAATCCCTCTCCAAAGTCCCCTTGACCCTACGACAGCCTGGTGTTTTGGGAATGCCTAGGGATATGGCAGGAGCGTTACATCCCCCAGGCTGGGGAGCAAGGGAGGGAAGAGGCAGGCCACGTAAGTGCCAAATTAAATGTTAACTTTGGACACTGAGTGCAGGTCACGCAGGAGTGAGAATTTAGACGTGGTGTCCTGACCCGTGTCTGGGTACAGCGAGTTACCGTGGCGGTGCGTGGTGCATGGCAGGGAGAAGGTGGATTTAACGCTGGGTCTTAACCCTCCCAGAGCAACTGCAGAGAAACAAGTGCAGGAACTTGCTGGTTGGGAGGAAAAGTATAAAAACCTGTTCAGGAAAAAAAGCGGCAATGGCTTAAAAACCTCAAGAAAATGTCTCAAGTGGGTTTAAATGAGCTTCAGGTGTCTCTTTTGTTTTCTCATCTAGAAGCACCGATGTTCATTTCCCATCCTCACTTCTACAATGCTGACCCAGCCCTGGTGAATGCTGTAGAAGGTCTGCACCCCAGCAAGGACCAGCACGCGCTCTTCCTGGACGTGCACCCGGTGAGTGACCTGGTGGGGTCCTCTCCTTGCCCTGGGAGTCCAGCTGGGTGGGGGAGCCTGCCACCAGCTTTGTGGTGGCCTCTCTTAGCTCTCATGGCACTGATTTGAGCAGGTTCCATAGTGCAAAGACTGGCAAGGACATGTGCAGATAAAAATGTCAAAGCCATAAACTAATTGAATAATTAGCCTGGCTTCTAGAGAATTGCAGAACTAATTATAAGCATAATTGTTTCGATAAGCACGGTGAAATCCTTTCCACTGACTCAGGTCCATAACACCAGGAGGTGTATCTAGCAGCAGCCCAGATACGCCCCAGATCTGCAAACGTACTGCCACGACTGGCAAAGTCTGAAGACCACCCTGTAGCTGAAGCTGTGGCCATAAGTTTTGGCCTGGCCTCTGCACTCCCAACTTGCTGATCTGGCTGCTACTGCACCGGCCTGCCACAGTGTCAACACTTCTGGTGTATCGACAGCGCAAGGGTGAAGTCCCCACTCCGGTGGTGATGAGTTGGGGGTTCCTGAGCCATCATTATCCCAGGTGCTGATGGGGAGAGGACTTTGGGATCTTCCACCCATGACCTGTGTTGCATGTCGTCAGAAATAGTGTGGCCAGCAGGACTAGGGAGGTGATTGTCCCCCTGTCCTTGGCACTGGTGAAGTCCCACCTCAATACTGTGTTCAGTTTTGGGATGCTTGCTACAAGAAAGACGTTGAGATTCTGGAGCATGTCCAGAGAAGGGCAACAAAGCTGGTGAGGGGTCTGGAGCACCTCTTCTGAGGAGCAGCTGAGGAAGCTGGTGTGGTTTAGTCTGGAGAAAAGGAGGCTGAGGGGAGACCTGTTGCTCTCTACAACAACTTGAAAGGAGGTTGTAGCGAGATGGTGGTTGGTCTATTCTCCCAAGTAACAGGTGATAGGACAAGAGGAAATGGCCTCAGGTTGCCACCAGGGGAGGCTTAGATTGGAGATGAGAAGAAATTTTTTCACCAAAAGGGTTACCAAGCCTTGAAACAGGTTGCCCAGGGAAGTAGTGGAGTCACCATCCCTGGAGGTATTTAAAAGATGTGTGGATGTGGTGCTGAGGAACATGGTTTAGTGGTGGTTTTGGCAGTGTTAGGTTGATGGTTGGACTTGATAATCTTAAATGTCTTTTCCAACCTAAACTGTTCTATGATCTTCCAAATGTTCAGTGATGTTTGCTTAAGTAAGGAACCAATCCCCTTCTTGAGGTAAGGTAAGCTGTGCTTCTTATCTAGGCATTGGGTTCTCTCTGCTTTTCTTATCATAGTTACAGAAATCTAATTAAGTTTATTACAGTATCAAACATCTACTGATAACAGTACGATTAACTATATTCTTATCTAGCTGCAGCCTGTTGAGTACAAACAGGGGCAATCCAACAAAAGCTCTCTGCCCTTAATGTGTTGCAAAACTGCAGTGTCATGAGAAGTCAATGCCTTAATGGGTGTCAACAAGACCAACTTTGAAGTGTGATGTTTTCATGGTCTTAGGGTGTTGCTGGACAGTGACTGTTGGCTTCTAGTTATGAGCTTTGTCCTTTACCGTGTACCTGAATCCTTTTGCATTGGTGTGTTTCCATCCTGCTGCTGGTAGGATGGACAACAGGAGTGGTTCATCAGGCTTCAAAAAACAATGAAGTTGCTATTAAAACACTCTGCCTGGGGAGTCAACTAAAGGTTGCGTGTGCTATTTGGTAATTTGAACTTGCTTAGGTTCAGTCCCACAAGTCACACAACACCTCCCTGATTCATGCTGCTGAATGTGTGCTGCTGCCTTCTACAGCAGCCACCTCTGTTCAGGTTAGCTTTGTGCCTTCTGACCACCCCAAGGGAGGTGCTCCCTCCTGAAGGCTGCTGTGTGCAACAGTCTCACTGGCTGGTGAGTGTCCAGGTGAAGGGGACAGACTGCCAACTGCCGTGGGGACAGTGCTGTACCCCCGTGAGCAGTCAGGGGACTGGTGCCTGTTTGACAGTTTCTTGTGCTTTGGTGGAAACCCCATCCACGCTCCTGGTCTCTTCTGTGGTGATGGTAGTGGATCCCTGGGTGATCCAATCTGTCACTCTGGAAGGTGGCACCCAGAGTAGCTGTGGTAGAAATGGCAGAGCTCTCAAGAAAAATGTTGGCTGTACTGATGAACTGGTGGGTCTCTTCCTATACAGATGACTGGCATCCCCATGAATTGCTCCATCAAGCTCCAGCTGAACCAGTACATAAAGCATGTGTCTGGTATAATGTAAGTAATCACCTTCTAGAAATGGCCATCTCCCTGTCTCAAGCAGACAGTGCTGCTGATGGCTGGGGCTGCAGCAGAGTTTACTCTGCCCAGAGATGAAGTAGCTTTAACATTACCAGTTGTCCCAGTTGCAGAAGCCAGCTGGCTCGTGTGGTGAAATATCAGCTATTCCAGTGACCTCAAACTGCTGTCCTTCAGCAGTACAGTGTGTGGCTGCCTGTTTGCTTGGCTCCTGCACCGGACTGGACAGCCGATGAAGTGACTGCTCCTCCTGGTGAGGCATTGGAGCGGTTCCCCTGCTCTGTGCTGCTGCTCAGAAGGTGTTGCAGCCAACATGGAGAGGCAAAGCAGTTGAAGTCTGTGTCCCACAAGGCTGGGAGCATGTACTTGCTGCGTTGGTTCTACACCAGCAGCCAGCCCTGATGCTCTGAACTTGGCCACACCACCCTGTGGTACCGTAGAGGTGACTGAGACCTCTTGGAGCTGCATGAAGTTTAACATTCCAGCTCAGTGAGCTCATGTCCCTGGAGCCTGGATTTGGGATGGCACTTACTGCTGTCGTTAGGGAGTTAAGCACGGATGGAAGCATAAAAGGCCCAGGTTGGACTTTCATGAGAGTTGGTCTCTCAAGAAGGGAGCAGCTCACTGAAGCAGCAGGAATTGCTGCCTCCTGACACTGGTTTCCTGGCCAATATCAGTCCATCAGAGGGGTCCTTCTAGGAAGAGTTGTGACACTGGTTGTGGCCTGATCAACTAGAAATATAAGTGCCTATTTTTTTATTTATTTTTTTTCCCCTCCTAGTCAAACAGGGAAGATTAAGCCAGTGGTCCTGCCGCTGCTGTGGTTTGCAGAGGTGAGCTGCCTTCCTCGACCTGATTCTGCAGAGCCTCTCCTGCGGGAGGGGGGGAAACTGCTTCCCCATCACCCAGGGCTGGGGAAACTCCACTTTGGATAAAGCTTTAAGCCAGACAGACTAATTAAGCACCAACAGAAGGCTTTGCAATACTTGGCTGTGTTGTTAATCCCTCTGAGCTGAACAAACCCTGCACTATACTTGGTAACCCTCTGTCTCTGCCCTAGATGTGGGGTTAAATAGGGCCCAGAAGAGAGCTGCCAGCATCCCCATGCTAATGTGGGCCAGGGAATGTGGTCTCCAGCTGACTCCAGCTGTTTAGTAAAAGCTTCTAGTCTAACTGAATCTCGCATAAATTCCCTGGTTTTGCTGGGAGGTGGTGGGAGAGGAGTCTGTCTCAGCCCTGGACGAGAGGGAAATGCTACTGACAAATTTGCTTTTTCGAGCAGAGTGGATCCATCGAAGGCTCAGTCCTAAAGCAGTTTTACACCAACCTGGTGCTGATCCCGTCCCTGTTGGACTACCTGCAGTACATCTTCATTGGGCTGAGCATCCCGCTCATTATCTCAGCAGCTGTACTCATGGCGAGGAGTCAGGTAAGGACTTGCAGATGTCTAATGGGAGTTGCTGTTAGTCAAATCAGACTTAATCAGATGATGTAGATTGGGCTGACAATCTAACACTCCTGAGGAAACATTGGCTGATGCCACAAATCATGTCGTAATGGTGCCAGGTGCCAGCAGATAGCAGCAGGGCTTCCTTGGCCGTCTACAAATTGGGCTGCAGATAGATAACACACAAGCATTTCTGGCTGTCTCAGTGCACAGCAGGGATGGAAGAGGGTTCCTGTAGGAGGAGGCATTTCTCAGCGCATCCAGCTAATGAAAGAGCAAGCCTAGCTCCTCAACCCAGCCTCTGTGGAAAGCAGCAGGTCTGTGCCATTGCACAAATCTCTGCAGGGTCCCAACAGCTTTCCCATCTGAACAGAGCCTTCTCGAGGGGATGTAGGCACTTGAGCGCAGCTTATTCGTAAAGGAAACATGGTCACTGTGTGCCCTTGCACAAGGGGCACAGACACTGTGGCTGCTTCTCAACCCAGACCGGACCCTGCCTTTCCCTGAAACTCACTTGTTTCCCTGCAAACTACTCCAAATAGCTCTGGAAGTTAAACCCTCCAGGCCTTTGTGGATCTGGGTTTACTGAGGAGTGAAGACCTTTGAAGCCTGCAGGGAGCTGGCAGCTGAGTAGAAGCTGGCTGACGATGGATGGGGTGGGTGGTGAAGGTGCCTGGCTGACACACAAGTCTGTAAGGATGGAATATAAACCCGCTAAAACATTTGCTGGAGATCTGTGGCTCCAGCTCCAAAACATTCATCTGATAACACTAAGCTCTCTAAAGCTTTAGCTCTTGAAGTAGAGATCTGGCTCCCTAACCTATATCAAAGTGAGCTTATTTAGTTGTGCACTGCAGTCAAACGGCTTGAGCTGGCTCTAAAGCTACAGAAGTGAAGAGGCTACTTGTGGGGATAAAAAAGCAATGCTTAGGATGAGAGCAGGCTAAGGGGAGAGAGCGTGCGAGGGGCTGCTTTTGCTAAACCTCCTGTAACCACCTTTACTGAAACACGAATGCAAACCCACTTTAAACAGTGCCAGGGTTCTCAGAGGATCATGTAATTGGATTTTAACCAAGCCTACAACTGCTTAATTGACTTAAACACCTGATCCCAAATCCCCTTGTTCCTCCACACACCTCCCTGCCGGGTGGGAGCGATGCAGGGACCGACTGAGGGTTCAGCCCTTGCTGTGCTCCCGAGATGGTCAGGCTCCATGTGTGGAACTCCCTGCCTCTGCAAACGCAAGCAGTCTCTGGCAAACAGATTCCTCTGCTGCATCTAAAAATTATAAATGTTTGTATTTGCTGGGCAGCTATTTCCAAGACCTTAACGCAGCCCTGGGCTGGCATTTCCTCCCCCTGCTTCATGCTAGTCTCGATTCCTGGTCTCAAAGAGCCTTGAACCGTGCCAGAAAGGGTCAAGGGGAAAAAAAAAAAAGCTGGATTTTAAGTTCACTGAAGTCAATATCTGCTTGTGAAACATCCCAAACCCAGGCATATAAGCCAGCAGCTGTATTTGGGTGCTCAGCCAAAAGCGTCATGAAGTGCTAGAACTAAAAATCAACTGCAGGAAGTGTCTGACTACCTGGAAAGTGATTAAAAAGCCTCAATGACCTTATAAATCTCTAAGGAAGCTATGCAGCAGCACATGAAAGTCTCTGCCTAATGAATAGATAAGAGCTCGTAAACTGGAAGACAGCAATTTGCAGCCAAGGTGCGTTCCTCGTTTGATTGAAGTGTTGCTGATCCAGCGATGATTGCTGAATCACGCACAGCCCTCCCTCCTGAAGTCATGGCTGATGTCAGAGGGGACACCATGCAGGGCATTGTCCACACCTTCACCTGTCTGCTGGCGTGAAGGTCTCCCTGAACCCAGCTCCTTCCTGGAGTATCTTGTGTGCCTCTGGCTTCTGGAGGGAGCAATGTGCTCTAAACCTAAACCCAGTCCAGATGAGGTGCTGTGAAACACCTAAATTGTAGTCTAGTCTATAGTGGAGCCGGTTTGAAATGCATCTGTCAGACTTGCAGTTCTAAAAATAAAAAGATGTCTATCTGTACAGGCATAAAACATGCCCAGGGGCAGCATTGCAGCTCTGCTAACGTGGCCTAAAGCCTGGGTGGTGATGCATTTGAAAGGCAAACAGACCATTTTAAAACTGGCTTGACACTGATCAAAATCTTAACTAGGGCTTAGTTTTGCCTAAATTTTGAAATCATCATTAATAACTAGATTCTGGTTAAACAGTGATTAAAATCTCCTCCTGAAATTGGAACCCTTGTGGAATTCATGTCCAAGTGCACCATAAACTAGCCTGATTGTCTTCTAGGAAAAATGCTCTTTATTTTGGAGTAGCAATAAAAAGAATTCAGACAGTAATAAGGCCAACCAGGCCACCTCTGCCAAAAAGCTGCCTCCGGTTAAGGGGATGGTGTTGCGGGAAGCCAGACTGTAGGTGGGTACCCAGTCAAGGTAACACACTTTTCTCTTGTCCTGATCTGATTAAACTTTGCTTAAAACCAATCAAACGGAAATGTTTACTGTCCACATCTACCAGACATGCCCTCTTGGCAAGCTTTGATATAATGATGTTGTCTCATGGCTTCATTCAGGGCAATTTAGATGTCTTAATACTCACACTTAAGCAGGCTGCAAGACCGTGCTCTTGTTGTTCCTGTGTACCTGATCTGCAGTCCTAACAATATCAGCAGGGATCAGGGAGAAAAGTAGGATATGTGTGAGGAAACGCTTTTCTCACCTGTCTTTTTTTTCCTCTTCAAGTGTTTGAGATCCAGAGGTAGGTTTTTTAAATGGGTGAAAACTCATGGGAAGTAACAGAAGTAGTCAACTGGTGGATGTCACTCCCCTCCTGCATGCAGGGAGCCTCGATGGAAAGGCTTTCAAGAGGGAATTTCTGATGTATAAAATATCTGGGTTTGTATTACAGGTTCACAAAATCACTGAATGGTTAAGGTTGGAAGGGACCTCTGGAGGGCATCTAGTCCACCCCCCTGCTCAAGTGGTGGGGTCACCTAAAGCCGGTTACCCAGGACCATGTCCAGATGTCTCTTAATATCTCCAAAGATGGAGATTGCCCAACCTCTCTGGGCTACTTGTTCCAGTTTTCACAGTAAAAGCAAAACAAAACACCCACAAAAACAAACAAACAAAATCCAAACCAAAAGTGTTTTCTAATGTTCAGATGGAACCTCCTGTATTTAAGTTTGTGCCCATTAGCTCTTGTCCAGTCCCTAGACACTACTGAGAAGAGCCTGGCTCTTTGTACCCTCCCTTCAGATACTACATGTTGGTAAGATCCCCCGAGCCTTCTTTTCTCCAGACTAAACAGACCCAGCTCTCTTAGCCTTTGCTTGTATAAGAGATGCTCCACTCCCTTCATCATTTTAGTGGCCCTTTGCTGGATTCCTTCCAGTAGCTCTGTCTCTCTTGCCTTGGGAAGCCCAGAATTGAATACAGTACTCCATATGTGACCTCACCATTGCTGACCTGCTGGAAACACTCCTAATGCAGCCCAGTATAAAGTTAGCTGCCTTTGCTACATGGCCATGTTACCACCTCATGTTCAACTTGATGTCCACCAAACCCCCCAGGTCCTTTTCTCCAAAGGCGTTGGGTGACCCTTACCACATACTGGTGCATGGGGTGGTTCTTCCCCAGATGCAAGACTGTACACATCCTCTTGTTGAATGTCATGAGGTTCTTGCCAGCACATTTCTCCAGCCTGTTGATGTCCCTCAGGAGGGCAGCATGACCCTCTGATGTATCAGTCACTTCTCCCAGTTTTGTGTCATCATTAATAAAGATGTTGAGCAGGATTGGACCCAGTATTGACCCTTGGTGTACACTGCTAGTTACTGGCTTCCAACTAGACTTCATACCACATCTTATGACCCTCTGGGCCTGGCTGTTCAGCTGATTTTCAGTGCACCTCACTGCTCATCCGGCCTATACTTCATAGCTTCTCTACAAGATTTTTATGGGAGGCAGTGTTGAAAGTCTTACTGAAGTCCAGGGAGACAATATCAAATGCTCTCTCCTCATCTACTAGGCCATTTAGTTCATCATAGAAGTTCATTGGGTTGATCAAGCATGATTTCCTCTTGGTGAAGCCATGCTCACTACTCCTGATGACTTTTGTGTCCTTCGTGTGTCTGGAAATGCTTCCTAGGATTACCTGCACCATCACCTTTGCAAGGACCGAAGGGAGGCTGACTGGCCTGTAGTTCCCTGGGTCTTCCTTCTTGAACTTCTTCAAGATAGGAGTGATGCTTGCCTCTGGTCTTTGGGCACCTTTCCCCATTGCCATGATTGCTCAAAGATTATGGAGAGCAGCATTGCAATGACATCACCAAGCTCCCTCAGCACTCATGGGTGCATCCCTTCAGGGTCCATGGATTTATGTACATCTAGGTTGCTTACATATTCTCTGACCTGTTCTCATCTTTGACCTGATTCTCATCCTTTTCTTCCAAGGGTATGTCTTCCTTGCTACAGACTTTCTCTTGGTCTCTGGGGTCCCCTGCTTCATTCATCAGTAGGCCTACATGACCCTTAGTCTTCCTTTTGTCACCTGTGTATTTATAGAAACCCTTCTTCTTGTCTCTGATATCCCTGGCCGGATTCAATTCCAGTTGGGCTTTGGCTCTCCTAACTTGGTGCCTGCATGCCGGGAGATGGCCTTTGTATTCCTGCCAGGTTACTTGTCCCTGCTTCCGCCTTCTGTATGCTTCCTTTTTGCGTTTGGCCAGGAGCTCCTTGTTCATCCATGTAGGCCTGCTGGCACTTGTTTCTGACTTGGAATGCTTGTTGGGATGGACCACTCTTGAGCTTAGAGGAGGTTATCCTTGAATATCAAGCAGCTTTTTTACCCTATCTCCTCCCACCTGAGTTCTGTAGTTTCCTGGTGGCCCTCATGGTGTCATTGGTGCCCATACAGAAGCAGTAGGTAGTAGACAGGGGGTTGGATAAACCTTGCACTCCTTCCACAACAACCCGGATACAGGTCCCCAGCAAGCAGCAAATGTCTCTAGGTGACAAATCAGATGGGCAGATGGGTGCCTCTGTCCCCAGCAGCAGGGGAGGGGAGGATTTTGAGTCAGGGAGCCCACCTGCTTTGCCTGAAAGCCTATCTGGCTCCTCCTCAACTTTGAGGGTGTTGAACATATATTGTAGTTGTAAGCCTTTAGGTGGAGCAGGAGTCTTCCTCCTGGTGCCAGAAGGCACCAGCTTCCGTCCTTCACCTTCCCCAGAGGTTGCACTTACCATTATAGTAGGGATGGGTGCTGTCCATGTCTCTACTGCAGCTGAGGTCTGGGGGTCTTCAAGCTGTTGCATCCCTGAGAAGATCCTGTCCGTCTCCCATTCGTCTTCTCTGACGCTGTGCAGCATGCTGGCTGTCCCATAACTCCTTCACCTGGTGACACAGCTCTTCAGGCTGAGCGTTGGGAGGTGTGACAAGTATCGGTGGGTGGGAATGGAAACAGCATCATTCTGTTAGGGGAGGAGATGCAAAAATTTTCATTTTAAGAAGCTAGCCTTTGGAAAAGGGTTGTTGGCCATGTGAAAATCCAAGGGGTTGGGGCACGTGTGTCCCAAGTGGCGATTTGGTGACACCTGCACACTGTAAGGTCTGGCCACGGTGCCACCGCCGAGTGCGTGGCTGTAACCGCTGTCCTCTCCTCTTCAGGGAACCGCCGCCAAGAAGAGCCCACGCCATCCCACCACGCAGAGCAAACCACCCCCCTCCTCCGAGACCACGCCGCTTCTCCACGATGCTGGCACGCTGAGCCAGGACGACGCCGAAGCCTGAGCCGCTGGCCCCGGCGCGCTTCCCACTGGGACATGTCTGTGCTGGGGATGAGACCTGCTTTGGATCCCATCCCCAGATCACCCTCTGGAAGGTGAAGTTGTCCTGGGCAACTCCAGCGGAGGCCCTGCACGCCACAGCAAAGCCACGGGACAGCACTGCACCAGCCATCCCGTGCCCGGGCACAGGAGACCTCATCCAGCCACCCAAAACACAGTGTTCAAGAGCCCTCCTCCCCAAGGGGCTGGTGTTGGCCACAGCCCCTGTCTCCCCCCATGGGCCAGCAGGAATGAAGATGGTCACGGGCTGATCTGAGAGGTTATTTTGCAATTTAAAACTTGCCTATCGCTAGGAATAAAAGGCACTTTAATGGGAGCCTTTAAAATAAATGAGGTTTGTATATGTAGCAGTGATGGGATTTAGTGATCTTTTTAAAAGCCACCGTTCATCTCAGGCAAATGGGGCTTGCTGTCCTGAAGCCACTTATGGTTTTATTGCCACTTGATGCGACTGGACTACACCGCAAATCAATTCAGAGTGCTGTCACTTCAGTGATGTCTCTCCTAAAGGCTTCCCAGGGTCCCTGCAGCTGCCCAGGGCTGCTCCAGCCTCTGCGTGTGTTGGAGAGCACAGTGGTGACTTTTAAAGCCCCTATTCTGTGCCATGACCTTGCGCTCCAGCGATTCCAGTCCAGAGCCCTTTTACTTAGCCTGCTGGCTCTCTTCTTGCCTTAGGTGACTGAGATGAGCCTTGCCAAAATGCTCTCAGTGGTACATCTGCCCCGTCACTCAGCTCCTCACAGACAGTTGTCCCTGCTCAGACGTCCAGGCTCTGCTCTTGTGGCCGTGCATTGGCAGGGCTGGAGGCCATCGTGTCACTCTGCCCACACTGTCTGGATGTGGGAAGGGAACAGGCAGAAGCTCGACCCTCTCCTTGAGCGTTGACCAAGATACTTAGGCTTTTGAGATGGAGGAAGCCATGTGTAATCATGAAAGTAACGATGGCCTCAGTGAGATTTGATGAAACTATTCCAGATTTCTGAAATGAAGCCTTGGGGGCTGTGGGGCCGGCTGTTAGCTGGGGGGGGGGTGGGCTGGGGTCACTCTTTAGTGGGAAGGAAGCCAAAAACCCAGGGATATTATTGGGTAACTACAGGTCAGTAGTTGTCTACCATACCTGCCTTCTGGGCTTCCAACCGGGAACCAGGGTATCCCTTAGGAAAGCCAAAAGGGCACTGCTGGTGGCTCTGGTGAGGACAGAACAGAGCGAGGGGAGTCTCTGGTCCCTCTTGGACCAGTGGCCTTGTTGGATGGCATGGATACTGCTGTGAAACGAAACCATTGCAATAGTCTAGGACAGCCCTGTCACCTTCTAGTGGGGTAAGCAATACCTGTCCTCTCATAGCTCCATCAGTCTTGTGAGGCAAGAAAAGCTAAAATTGACACCAGCAGCTCCTGGGCTGGTGCATTCCTGACTGGCCATGTCCCCGGTCTGCAGCTGGGCTGGGGCTGTCTTAGCACGGAGAACACTGTGATATAGCCAAGGTCACCACTGGGAAGGGCAGCAGCTACCCAGAACTTGGTCCAGAGCCTGAATTTGACTAGACACCCAAAGCATGTCTCGCGGGCAGGATGGGACCAGCCAAGTCCCTTCTTGTGGCCAGTGCTGCTGGATTATTTCTGTGGCATGAGCCCTCTCTGAGGGTGACGCTTAAACCAGAGCTGGCATTGCCCTCCGGCCTCGGATCCAGAATTGTCCACCTGCATCCTCAGCCAGCGGGGACGGGGCAGAGGCGCCGTCCTGGGCACGGCACCATAGGATGCTCAACCCATCAACTCATGCAAATAAGACCCAGCTGCATTCAGCAAAGCCGCCGTAGAAGATAACCACCCTCGGGCTCACCTGCTTGAAGCTTTAATGATGTACTGGTGCTAATTGCTGTTGTACAGGTGAAAACAAATAAACCCCTGGAATACCGCTCCTACTGCAAGCTTCTGTTTCCTTGTTGGTTTTGGCAGAAACGTAAGTTTCAAGAGCTCTGGTTTTTATAACAGACCTGGATGTTGCAGTAAATCGTTGCCTTGGGGGGGTGGGCGGTGCGGTGCGGCGGCGGGGCCGCCAGGGGGCGCTGTGGGCCCGCGACGGGCCGGTGCTTGGGGGGGGCGGGGGGCGTGTCGGGGCTGACCCCGCCGTCTGTCCCCTCCCGGGGCCACCAAACCGGGGGACAGCGGACCCTCACTCAACAGGCTGCTCAGCCATTCTCGGCCCGGCCCGGGGTACAGCAGGCTCGGCAGGGCCCCCGCTGTCCCCCCTCGGGACCGCAATACGGTTGTTCACCGGCTCAGAGCGCTCCCGTTATGTTTCTCCTGTGCTTCAGCCACCTTGGTGGCTGCTTGTGAAGTTTCCAATTAATTTTAAAAAAGCTTCTCATAACCCCCGAGTCCTTCCCTGGCCCTGACTCGCTCTCCCTCACCAATTCCCTTTGTCACAGCCCAAACACCAACAAGACCCAGCCAGACACCCCCCAGCACGCCACCTTTCACTCCCCACCTCCAAGCCGGGTTAAAGTCTTTTACTTTCTCCCAAGGACTTTAATTGGCCTCCACAAGCTCCGTAATTACCATGACAATCTCATTTTACTGCGCAGAGCTCTGGGAGCTTCCTTTCACCCAGCCTGGCACAGCCATAGGAGATGAACGAGTCTTCTCCATCCAGGAGGTGCTTTGTCACCATCACCAAGAGTGTTCCCATCTGTGAGCAGTTGCCTTTTGGTCTGGGCAGCAGCCTGGGGGGATCAAAAGGGATGGAAGGGACCTTCAGGGTTTGTTGTCTACTTTTTTTCCCCTACTGAGTGACAAACCCTCCACCAGCTCCTCTGGAAGACAGCCCAGGGATAACACAGCCCTCCCCATTTCCACTGGGGGTAGGGTGATTTTATAAATGTGGTGTAAATGCAGCAGAGGAGCTGTTCCTGATCCCTTTCTCCAGTCCTATCCCACCTCCTCTGAAGCACAGAGAGCCTGGCTATTCCCTGGAGCTACAGGGCTAGGTAGGGGGGGGCTCAAACCCTGCACCAGGAGCAGCCTCTGTGTTATCCCCTCCACCTGCCCTCAGTGCTCCAGGTGCCCATCACTGATTGTGCTGGGTTAAAACCCCAGCAGGCAGAGGAAGCTCTGGTTTGTGCCCCAGCAAGTCTTGGCTCTGCTCTGCTTCTCCTCATCGTGTTTGCTCCCGAGCACACATAAGCTGTGGCTCTGCTCCCCTGCACTCAAGACTCTTAAAGCCAGGACAAATCCCTCCAGCGACGCAGAGTGGTGAGTAAAGCTGCTGGTGCAGAGGCTGTGGGGTCTCCTGGGGTTCTTATTGCTTAAAATCTCCAAGCAAAGCACACAAAAAAGCAACATGTAGCTGATGCTGTTGTGGTTATAGGGGTGGCAGCATGGTGTTTGATGGAGAAGTGCTTTTCACCCTGGCAACTATAGGTGGACCAAGCTTTATGTGCACATAGCTGCTTGTGTGAGGCCGCAGTGTGGGAGTGCAGGGTCCAAAATCCATCCAAGAGGTGCTGGGAGAGCAAATTGTGGCGCCTGGTTTGTCTTGCATTTAGCTGTGGTGACCTCCTCTGTCTGGGAGGAACTAGTTGGAGGGAGGGCAACAAGCTCACGGGATCCTGGAGGAGAGCCCATGATGGCCTGCCTCTGCCTGGCTGGGCTTAATCCTGCCTTAATCCTGGTTGGGGCTCTCTGCTGTGTCCTGTTGTGGTGCAGGGTGTGGGTCCTGGCTGGATGTGTGAAGCTTAAACCAAGCATCCCTCCTGTGTGTGAGCTGGGGGTTCAGCCTGGACCCCCTGACTCTGGAGTGCGTGTGGGGGGGGAAATGCCCTGTTTTAAGCCCTTTCTCAGCCTGAGACCAAGCAGAAAGTGTTTTTCTGCTCTGTGCCGCAGTGCTGGCACGAGCGGTGCCCGGCAGCCCTGGCCCTCAGTTGCCCTCAGTGCTTGGCCAGCACAGAGCTCTGCGCAGCCATCTGCCACCTTGGCCACCGACCAGCCTGCCTGAGGTGCCCGGTGCTGCAGGGAGCTCTGCCCCCATCCCTTCCCTTGTCGTGCAGCAGAGGGGTGATGCTGGGTGACCCTGGCATTGCCCCCAGTGTGAGCTGTGCTGCGGGCACCCCCTCTAGGCATGAAAACGTGTTGAGACCCCACATCGAGTGCCTTATTGCTGGAGAAAGCAAATAAGGGCTGCTGGGCTTTGGCAGCGAAGTCTCTGCTCCCAAGTGTGTGTTGGAAGTTGGCGTTAAACTTGATGGTGTTCAATGCCTCATTTGAAGAGCGTAGCTAAATGTCCTTCCACCTCCTGCTTGCGGGGACACAGGAGCTTAATTTTATCGCCTCACCAGTCACCGGAGTCAGGGCTGGACCGTTTCTGGGAAAAAGCCTGTGCGTGCACAAGCTCCTCCACCCAGAGCCGTCAGAAATTCTCCTGCCCTTCAAAAAGGGAAGGAAAAAAAAACCCATAATGTACTCCCTGCTTCGAGCATTTCCTTTTACCAAGGTGCCTTGGGGTCCTGGAAGCGAGAGCCACAGCCCATCACGCAGAGCATGGGAGATGCTCCATCCTCGCTGCTGTGGCCATGGGGATCCCCTAGTTACCCTGCCACCACCTTCCCATGGCAAACCCCAGCTCTCTTGGAGCAAACCAAGCCACGGCCTCATGTGGAGTCCCCATGTCCCTTTTCCATCGTGGTGTGCACCCCTACGGGGTGGTGCCCGGTGGGGAGGCTCCTGCCCCGGTCCGGGTTTGCGGTGCTCGGAGCGGTGACGCGCAGCCGGCGAGGAGCCAGGGCTCCCTGCGCTCGGTGGCTCCCTGGGAGCGCTCGTTTTCTGGAGCAAGAGAAACAATTCCTAAAAAGGAGCAGTCGGATGGAAAATTGATACCAAATGGTGATATCAGTCCCTTGAGGAATAAGGTTTGATCTCTCAACCCATGGTTCCTGGGGGCTAGGACACAGGCAGACAATGCTATTTTAGAGGGAATTATTTTTTTTTTTAATAAAAGTTTATTATTTTCCCTTTTTGTAAGTTCATGATTTTCCCAGATGCGAGCTGGCTTCAGATTTGATGCTGATGGCACAGGCTCCTGCTTTGGGTATATGCAGAATCTGCAGGATGAGGGTCTGTGGAGCTGTGCCTGGCCCTGCTCTGGCTGCACATGTGTCCTGCAGGGCCAAGGACCATCCCCAGCAGCTCATCTCATACAGGACTGGGGGGCATTTGCCAGCCCCACATGGTGTTGTCCTCAGGTAGAGGCAATCCTCAGCAGGCAATAGCCACCCTGGGGGTGCCTGCCTGGTTCCCCAGGCTGGTGTTCCTTCTCATCTTCACTGTCTGCCCCTGTGACTGTGGATGC